GAATGAAATGCTTGTGCAAAACTTGGATATCTTCTTTACCATTGAAGCATTTCACCAGCCAGTGGCTGTATCAGTCCAGTACAGAGAAAAATGGTGGAAGATGTGGAGTTTAAGGTAATCAGTCCCTCAGCCTGGAGATGATGTGTTCAGTCCATCCGTCTTGATAGAAATGTACAGCATATGCATGAAGAAGGGAGCTTATATATTGAGACACACGAAGCAAAGCAGTTGGAGGTAGTGTGACTGGTGGACAAAATCCACTAGTGGAACTAGGTCATGGTAATAGGTTTGGCAAGCATTGAAGAATTATCTGTACTAAGATTCCAAGATGTTGCTGTGTCAGACAGGTATTATTATGTAAGTGGTTTAAACCTTTCAGGGTTGAGAGGCCCTCTCCTAAACTTGTTCTCAGGGTCAAAAATATTTTGGAAAAAAAAAAACAATTATTTTTTCTTATGAAATGATAGAGAATCTTTTCCTGATCATAATGACACCAAAAGTATGAAATTTGATGGAAACTTACAGAATTATGCTCTTGCGAAGTTAGCGGTCTTGCCGATGTTTACGCATCGGTGATTCTCCTCACTTTGAGCCCTATTTTTGGCCAATTCCTGTGTACTTGTCGACAAAAATCATATTTATTTCGCTGGAACTCCATTTTTTTCTATTGAATGAGTACAAGAAACCACCCATTTACCAATTTCAACTATCCAGTAAAGTGGTTAGAAATTGTTAATTTTGCCAATTTCACACAAATTTCAGAAGTTACCAATTTCCAAATAGGGCCCAGAATAAACAAGAAAGACATTCCTGGCACTAAAATAACAAGTTCTCTGTTCGTTAGTCACGTCCCCAGGCCCCTCTTATATTTCTTTTGCTTTCCACTTTGAATTTTTATTCTTATAAAAAATAGAAGATTTACTGTTATGCAGACTACTGCATTAGTGTAGAAATGGTATAAATAATATCAGTGCACTTGTGAAAGAATATTAGACTCACAAGTTGACGTATATTGGACGCTTGGCATGATTTGTTTACTTTTGAACTTTGGCACAAATCAAACATTTCTGCTACTTTGAGCTCAATTTCAAGGTACTTTTCATTGTGAAACCAGTCAAAATCATCTCGATTTCTGTAATACGTCTTCCATTCTATAAAATGACACCAGGACAACTAGAATACAACCATAAATACCATACGAAAATACAGTGCAAAGTTACTGTTTTAATCCAAAAACACGGTCAAAGTTTTTTTTTTTTCATTACGCACTGTGTGCTGCAGTATTTTTTTTTATGCTGAGCACACTGACCACATAGACCCATTCTTTCATATGTAGGCCTACCAGATTTCTCTCGCTAGATTTGAAAGTTTATCATGTCCTCTTCTGCTCGTATGCTTCTCATTAGATTTACATCTGTAAAGAGAAACACACAGGACTTGTTCCCCCTCTGATTGGTCATTCAGATATAGAGTGGACCCCTGGATTAAGTCATTGGAATGAGTAATATTCGGAATAAGTAACATTTTTTCGTCAAAATATTGGCTTGGTGAACGTCACTGAACTCAGTATAAGTCATTTGTTTCGGGGCTGCTCAGGCCCCGACACTCCATGTACAGCCAGTGTGCCATTGTTTACCAGCCAGTGAGGACGATCCCACGCATTCATACGATACATTTTGTATTATTCCATTATTTTTAGTGCTTGTAACTGCTAAATAAGCCACCATGGGCCCAAAGAAAACTTCTGTTGCCAGCCAGCCCTTTGATAAAGGGCTGAGAGAGAGGGGAGAATGTGCCATTTTCAGTGATTCTGCAATATATATGATACTAAAGCAGAAAGAGTCTATAAAGGCTATAGTGCCAGCCAGCAATAAAGTGTAGCATTAACAGTGTAGTAAGTAAGTTAAGCGATTAATCGATAGAAAAAGGACAGCATGAAAATGATTCCTCAATTGTTGTTGGAGGTATATAGGGCTACTGATTAACACCGCTGCCTCTGCTGCCTTCACCACCACTATGTAAGGCTTATGTTTCAGTGGCCCTAATACACCCAACAACAAGCAACACACCACCACTCGTGACATTCTTAATGCCATGTTTTATTCATTCTATAGTATATATCATGTTTTTATGATATTAATATTGTTTATTATGTCATATTAGATGAATTGTGCTAGATAAATAAGTCGTAGAGCTGATATTGGTGTCATTTTGAAGGACTATCTTGTCCTGTCTCCCAACACAATTCCTAACATACACCAGAAACAGATCTCTCAGGAACACTTTTTTGAGCAACAAGGGTCCAGTGACTCTCAAGCTGGTCCAAGTGGCATTAAAAAACAAAGAAGGGAAGTAATCCAGGATAAGGACTTGGTACCTGAAGTCTTTAGGGAGGGGGATTCCCCTTCCAAACAATTGTCAACTCCTCCAACCTCTCCCATCCTCCTGTCTTCCATACATCGCTATGTCTTCAATAAAGGTAAGTGTGATGATATTGTTTTATTCTTCATGTATCATTGTTTTTTGTGTAGGTAACATGTGTAGAAAACATTTTTTTTTTTTTTAATACTTTTGGGTATCTGAAACGGATTAATTATATTTCCATTATTTCTTATGGGGAAAGTTAATTCGGAATAAGTCAGATTTGGGATGAGTCATTCTCTCTGGAACGGATTAATTATGTAATCCGGGGGTCCACTGTGTTAGGAACAGTAGTGGTTGGTCCTAGTACCAATTGTTCAGAACCTCGCTCATTATTGTCTCCCATTCTGATGTCTCATCCCTTACTGTTGCTTTGCTTTCTTGCTTTTTGTCATTCAAATACTCCTAGACCCACTTGAGGACTGTCTTTTTGCTTTGTCTGTTCCTCTAGTTTCTGGACTAATCTCTGGTGTGGTACTTTATCAAATGCTTTCATGTAGTCCAAGAAGATGTGTTTAACCCTTTCAGGGTCCGTCCCGTAGATCTACGGCTTTACGTTCAGGGTCCAAACCGTAGATCTACGCCATGAGCTCAGCTCACTCTGATAAACTGTGAGTGGTACATTTGGGCCTAGATATGAGAGAATACATCTATGTGGTATGTGTGCACCACATAAAACAGATCCTGCAGCACACTGTGTATAATGAGAGAAAAAAAATGAAATCATGATTTTTCGATTAAAACAGTAACTTTGCAGTGTTTTTTCGTATGTTTTTTATAGTTGTATTTGCGATTTCTTGGTCTCATTTGATAGAAGGAAGACATATTACAGAAATAGAGATGATTTTGATTGGTTTTAGCACTGGAAATGGTTTGAAACTGAGCTCAAAGTAGCAGAAATGTTAAATTTTGCCGATATTCAAGAGTAAACAAACGACCTCACACGTCTAATAAAACGTCAGCTGGTGGGTCTAATATACATTCACAAATATGATGATGATATTTATACAATTATTACAGTATTGCATAACAGTAAATCTTCTATTTTTTGGTGTGAATAAAAATTCATTATGTGAATAAAAAATCAAAATGGAATTTATTTGTAAAGCCTCAAACATAACTAATGAACAGAGGAAATGTTAGTTTAGTGCCAGGAATGCCTACATTTTTTCTTTTCTGGACCCTATTTTGAAATTGGAATATTTTGAACTTTGTGTTAAATTGGCCAAATTAACAATTTCCGATCACTTTATTTTGTAGTTGAAACAGTTGACTTGGCGATTTCTTGTGCTCAATCGATAGAATAGAAGTAATACTAGTGAAATAGCTAAGAATTTGGTTGATTGGAATAATGTAATTGGCCTAAAATGGGAGTCAAAGTCGGCAAAATCGCCGATTCGTAAATATCGCTGACACATCAAAATTCACGAGAGCATAATTTCGTCATTTTCCACCAAATTTCGTACTTTTTGTTTTATTACCTTCACAAAAAGATTCTCTACGATTTCATAAGAAAAAATAAAATTTTTTTTTTTTTTAAATTCTTGGACACTGGTGCGTGACTCCAGATTTGGGCCTTGGACCCTGAAAGGGTTAAATGTATGCATGCATTACCATATGGTGCATGTGGGATAATCTCATATTTATTTGGTTAACATTAGTAAAGAAATATGGAACTTGCAGTCTTGGAATGTTTTACACATTGTATTGGGTTCACTTTATTCACTGTAGGCTTGGAATGCATCTGTCACATAAAGCAAAGTACGTAGTACTGTATTATAACTGGTCAAGAAATGAGGACACTTTTTATATTACAGTGTCCATTGTCCTTTTTAATGGATCAATAACCCCAAATTGAAAACCAACCAAAGAATTTTGTTCAAAATATGTATTTTGAAATTTTCCCATCCCTTAATCTTTATTTTCTCCCTCCTCATCTTTTGTGCATGATAATAAAATATTGAGTAATATTTAATATTATATTTAAGGGGTCTTTAAAAGACTATTGGGACACTCTAAGTGATTTTAATGTGTACCTGCATGGCAGCACAGTGTGTAAGTTTATTTAGGTACAGGTACACATAAGTGTGGTGAAAGTGTTGAATGATGATGAAAGTATTTTCTTTTTGGGGATTTTCTTTCTTTTTTTGGGTCACCCTGCCTCGGTGGGAGACGGCCGACTTGTTGAAAAAAAAAAAAACACATAAGTATAATTATCAGAGTATATATAAAATATATACTCTGATAATTGCCTCGGTGGGAGATGGCCGACTTGTTGAAAAAAAAAAATATATATAAAATACTCAATAACTTTAAAACCCTTAATTTTTTTGAAAGTTTCCAGACATAATGGAGAGAAGCAAAGCTCAAGGAGGATGTAAACAAACAGAGCAGTGCACGGTGTCTGTAGTATTAGTGATTCAGGTGGGGGGGAGGTATAACAAGTTTTGGTCATAATTTGAAATGTCCATATTAGCAAAACCAAGTAAAGCAGAGCCCTACTGTACACAGCAAAAAAAGTAAAATACAGTTCTTTAGCCATTCAAATGGCTATTTTATCTATGATTATAACTTTGCAGATTCTTGGGTTATGTTGACAAGATTGGAACTGCCTTTGAAGCCAAGGAAGTTGCTACTGGATTTGGACTTCATTTTGCAGTTCCAATGATTCGAGAAGCCAGGGAGAAAAAACAAAACTTATCATGTGATGAGGCACGCAAGGTAAAAATAATTAATGTTCTGTGTAAGGTATTTTAAACAATAAAAAATAGTTGCATTTCAGGACTTTTCGTTTGCTTCTATATCTTTCTTTCAACAAACCGGCCGTATCCCACCAAGGCAGGGTGACCTAAAAAGAAAAACGAAAGTTTCTCTATTTAAATTTAGTAAATATGTACAAGAGAAGGGGTTACTAACCCCTTGCTCTCAGGCATTTTAGTCGCCTCTTACGACACACATTAAAAAAGCCTTGTCAGGTGCTTTCTCTCTCAATTTTTCTGTGCCATGATTCCTTTGGAAATTTTTTTGAAGGGTGGCCTCAAAAGTGTCGAAATAATGGCAACATATACCAAAGAATTAACACGCCTGTATGAAAAAAGGAAGGCAAATATAGAAGAAAGCTAATAGTACACATGGTTTTCTTAACTAGAACAGTATGGCAGTTAAAAAAAAATTGAGACTACAACCAAGTTATACAGTGAAGAGTAAAAGTCACAGTTCTATGGCTGGAACAAATCACAACTAACCCACAGTTTGGAGAGGAAACATAATAAGTAAAGCTTCCTCTCCAAACTCTGGTTAGTTGTTAAGTACTGTATTATAGTAATAGATTGAGTGTACTCAAAAGTGCCAGAGAAGTTAGAGATATAGAGTACCTTACTAATATTTTCTCCATAGTTGTCATTTATTTTTGTGTTTTTGAATATTTGTTTGTATCATGGATGCTCTTTGACGTAGGCTTAATATCTGCATTTACGAAAGTTCTTTCTATGCATATACAGTGGAACCTCGGCTTACAAACGCCCCACAATGCGAACTTTTCATGATACCCACTGTCATTCGGTCAATTTTTTGCTTCTGGATGCAAATGAAATTTTAGGATGCATACTTCCCCCTCAAGGGAGGTTCCTTAAATAAATAAATAAATTAAAATATATATTTCTTTGCAAAGGTTACAATGTGTGTTTACATATCATAATATGATTGGAGCAAAGAAAGCCACTGTTATGCCGAGGCATTTTGGGCAGACTTAACCTAATACAGTGGACCCCCGGTTAACGAACTTTTTTCATTCCAGTAGTATGTTCAGGTGCCAGTACTGACCGAATTTTTTCCCATAAGGAATATTGTGAAGTAGATTAGTCCATTTCAGACCCCTAAACATACACGTACAAACGCACTTACATAAATACACTTACATAATTGGTCGCATTTGGAGGTGATCGTTAAGCGGGGGTCCACTGTACTAATAGACTACTTAAGTCTAGACAGGTGAAGAGTGGTATTGGTTACCAATGTTTTGCTGATCGTGGTGCCAACTACTGGCAGCTTTTTGAATTTCTCCTTACTGTTATTACATATTATTATTATTATTATTACTATTATATTGTATTATTATAATAATAATTATTATAATAATAATTTATAATAATATTATTATTATTATAATTATTAGTAGTAGTAGTACGTATGTGGTGAGGGGCTCTTGATCTAGGGAATTGGATCTGTGTTCCAGTTCTCTAAATTAAGCCTGACTACCTTTCATCCCCTCCTCCCCCCACAAGCACTTCCCCATTATAATAATAAAAATATATAATAATACTTCTTTCTTTCTTTCAACACACCGGCCGTATCCCACCAAGGCGGGGTGGCCCAAAAGGAGAAACGAAAGTTTCTCCTTTTACATTTAGTAATATATACAGGAGAAGGGGTTACTAGCCCCTTGCTCCTGGCATTTTAGTCGCCTCTTATGACACGCATGGCTTACGGAGGAAGAACTCTGTTCCACTTCCCCATGGAGGGAAATACGATAATTATAATAGATGGCTTCGAAAGTCTGTCACTAGATGGCAGTGAATAACACAACAATGCGGGAGCTGTTATGGCCACCTCCACTTGTCACATGACATATTTTATTCATTCTAGAGTATATATATCAGGTTTTTATGTTATTTTTATTGTTTATTATGTCATATTAGATCAATTATGATAGATAAATAAGCTGTAGAGTTTATATTATCGTCATATTGAAGGAAAATTTTGTCCTGTCTCCAAACTATAAACTCTCCTCCGCCATCGGCACCACTACATGGCCACATACGTAATGACATATTTTATTCATTCTGGAGTATATATCAGCTTTCTATGTTATTTATATTGTTTATTATGTCATATTAGATCAATTATGATTGATAAATAAGCCGTAGAGTTGATATTAGCATTATATTGAAGTGTATTTTTCCTGCCTCTGAGAGCAGGAATTCCACCGGAACGGATTAATGGCTTTTCAGTTAATTTAAATGAGGAAAATTGACTCAGCATATGAACAAATCAGGATATGAACAAGGTCACGGAACGGATTAAGTTCGTAAGCCGAGGTATACATGTACATGTTATTTTACTTAAAGTAAGTGTTTTAACCTTCTCCATGTCTTTTCAGTCAGGATATGCCTTATCAGTCTATTTAGTAAAACAATTTAAACTATTGATTTACTTTGCAGTATATCATATGGCACACTGATCTGAAGCTTTTTTTTTAACTTTTTTTTCCAGTTTGTGTCACTATTATCTGCTTGTGATATCAATTTCACCTTTTCTACTCTAACCTTGTTAACATAATTCCCCCTCAAAAGAAATCATTTTCCTCAGCTGCTGACAGAGTGCTTGAAAGTTCTTTATTATCGTGACTGTCGTGCTCACTTCAAATATCAACTAGCTGATATCACACCAGAAGGTGTAACTATTCATGATGACCTCAACCTGAAAAAGGAGACTAACTGGGAAGTAGCTAATTATATCAGGTAAAGTTTTTAAATTACATATTCTGTACACTGCTTGTGAGAGTAAATACTTATTTGTAATTACCTTTTGACTAGTGTAGACATAACTGTGCTTGTGGTAACTCATCTTCATTGGTGTTTGTTTTATAAGTTCTTAAATGTTGAAGTGATTGTGGAGTTTGTTACCTCTTGTATCCCTTCAGAATATGTTTTGTATCATAGTAACTTTGTAGATTTGGTATATAGGATTTTATTAAAAAATCAACTGTTTAATGATTGGTATTTGCTTTCCAAGTGTTTTATCAATTTTAATATGATGGCTTTTTCCAGAGTTTTTACATCAAATTTTTGTCAGTGATGCAAGCCTGCTGTTTGAAGGCTCTAACTTGTCACACTTTAAATATAAATATTAACAATTTGACAACAGAAATACTCTTGCATTTCCTTATTTGTGGATGATGCCAAAATAAATAGAATGTAAGCAGAAGATAAAATTTTGCAGGAAAGCTGAAAAATTTCAGGATTGTTCAAATAATGGGCTACTGGGGTTTAACACTAGCAGAAGCAAAATTACGCGATGGGGAAATGGGGAAAAGAAACTATGTAACGAACAGTTACAAAAGAGGACATACAATGTCCACTACCTCAGATTTATCCCCATAAGCATGCACAAAAAGAATAACAGCAGCACAAGCTAATCTCTAAACACTGTGCCTGTACTTCATATGTGCAAACCCCTTCTTAACCCCTTGACTGTCGTGGTCGTATATATACGTCATGAGAGATACCGTGTTTGACGTATCTATACGCATAAATTCTAGCGGCTTCAAATCAAGCGGGAGAGGGCTGGTAGGCCTACACGAGAGAGAATGGGTCTCAGTGGTCGGTGTGCACCCTGTGAAAAAAATCTGGGACTCAGCGGTGCATTGTGGGAACGCCATCTTGGTAGTCCATTTTCACCATGCCTCGCGGTAAGAAGTTCCTCACTCCTCGGCGGATTGGAGGTCTTTTGTTCCCAAGTGATAGCTCAAACAGTGATGAAAGTGTCAGTGAAAGTGAATTCCCTGGTTTTGAAGCGGGTGTGACTGAAAAAAGTGCCCAGGATAACATAATTAGTGATGAAAACCCAGATGACCCACAACCTTCCACCTCTGGTGCTGGGCCAGCTCGTTCATGTTCACCTGTACCAGGACGAAAGAGGAAACTATTTGCCCATGTACAAGACTCAGATGTGAGCAGTGCAAGTGATAGTGATATTGATTTCAAGGTTATTGAAAGCAGTTTTAGTTGTGACAGTGAGGGTGAATATTCCCCAGTGAAGCGGCAGTATATACGACGTCGCATGCAGTCTGGTAGTGTGCCATATGCTCTTCCAAGAGGAAGGAGTACATCTCGGAGCACATCCCGTGGCCCTACACCACGTCCTGATAGTGAAGATGACGATATTGTTACGATGGGTATCAATGATGCATGTGAGGCAGCAGGCGGTGGTGGTGATAGTGATGGTGGCATGAGTCATGTGACACCAGCAGCAGGCCACACTACTTACCCGCGCTGCTGACTCTGCACAACTACAACCAGCCTCACCCGACCCCACACTCCCACAACAACCACAACCACAATCTGCACAACCACAACCACATTACAATATCCAGAACGCACCAGCTGACCGCATCTGGGATTGGCAAGATGATGACGAGTTTGTTCCCAATCCCCATGACTTTGATGGAGGGCAAAGTGGAATATGGCCATCATGTACACTTGGGAACAATCCCACTGAACTGGAATGCTTTCAGTTATTCTTTGATGAACCCCTGATGGACATTTTTGTCAGGGAAAACATTACATACTATGAGTACACCATGGCAAACACTATTCTGTCACCAAGATCACGCCTACACCAGTGGAAGGACACAACTGTGGCAGAGATGTATCTGTTCTTTGCCACAATAATGCTTATGCCACATGTGTATAAGCATAGTGTCAACACATACTGGGCGACAGACCGCCTGATTTCAACCCCTGCTTTCAGTGACATCATACCAGTGAATAGATTTGTGTTACTGTTACATATGTTACACTTTTCAGACAAAACCAGGCCTGACAGAAGCGACAGGTTATATAAGATCAGACGTGTGTTTATGTACCTGAAACAAAAGTGCTGTATGTATTTTTATCCCTTCAGGAAGCTTGTTATTGATGAGTCTCTGATTTTGTTCAAAGGAAGACTTATTCAAGCAGTATATACCAAGCAAGAGGAAACGTTTTGGTATAAAGTTATTTGTTCTGTGTGATTGCAAAACTGGTCTGGTTTTGGATATAATTGTGTATACTGGCGGTAAAACATTGGAAGATACCAGAAAGTTACTGGGTATCTCTGGTGATGTGGTTAGAACAATGCTGGAGCCATATCTTGGTAAGGGGCATATTTTATATACTGACAACTGGTACACAAGCCCTATACTCAGTGATTTCTTACGAGTGAACATGACAGATGTGTGCGGCACAGTGCGTGGAAATCGTAAACATATGCCTAGGTTCGATGCTGGCAGTCGTAGCGGTGAAGTGCAGGTGTTTGCTGCCAATGACATTTCGGTGGCATGACAAACGTGATGTCACACTGCTGACATCAGTTCACCGACACGAAATGGTAGACACTGGCAAGCAGAATAGAGAGACCAATGAACCCATTGTAAAACCTGCAGCTGTGATGGATTACAACCTCAATATGCGCTTAGTGGACAAATGTGACATGCAGATTGGGTTTGCTGACTGTGTTCGCAAGAGTTATAAGTGGTACATAAAACTGTTTTTCCATCTTCTTGACATTTCCATGCTGAATGCTTATAATATGTATAAGTTGAAGACCAAGAAGAAACCCAAATATGGCGAATTTTGTTTGTCAGTCATCAGACAAATAATATTCAAGTACCAAGAAACAACACCTGCAATAGACCAGCGCCCACGAAATTATCAACACATGCCCTCTCGTTTGAGGCCTGGTGATCACTACCCCATACCTCTGCCTGCTACTACTGCCAAGTAAAATCCTCAGAAGAGGTGTTTTGTCTGTGGACATACAACAAAACGCCCACAAAAACGCAAAGACACTTGTTTTATGTGTGAGGAGGGTAAGACACCATTGTGCTTATACCCATGTTTCAAAGAATTCCACAAGCTGCAGCAGTTCTAGAAAAGTGTCCAGTGATTGTACATATATATGTACAGTGGACCCCCGCTTAACGATCACCTCCAAATGCGACCAATTATGTAAGTGTATTTATGTAAGTGCGTTTGTACGTGTATGTTTGGGGGTCTGAAATGGACTAATCTACTTCACAATATTCCTTATGGGAAAAAATTCGGTCAGTACTGGCACCTGAACATACTACTGGAATGAAAAAAGTTCGTTAACCGGGGGTCCACTGTATATATATTATAGAACAATCATAATAAACATTTGTTTACATTGTTTGTTTGTGTAAACAAGTTTTAGCAACATTATAATGATATGAGTGTTTTTGCTATAATTGTGTTACATTCAACGAGTGTATATTTGAACATTGCACAATAATTTGGTCTCACAGGCCACAAAAGTTATGTGAAAAAATGAAAGTGAAAAAAACAAGAAACCATCGAATACAAGTAAATCAAAGTTTACCAGGTGAGCGGCAGTCGCCGCTGTTGCCGCTCGCAGATCAATTTCAGCAAACTTCAGGACTCTATATCTTGGTAAGTACTGATGGGAAAAAAAATTTGGGGGGACTAAAACAATCAGAAAAATAATCTTAACATTTTCATAAGAAAAAAAAATAATTTTTTTTTTTTTTTTTTTTTTTTTTTTTTTTTGAATATTTTGCGACACCAGGAGACACTTCAGGATTGGGCCTTTCGACAGTCAAAGGGTTAAGTATGCAGTACATACCTACCCCTCATTGAGTAAAACAAAAGTGAAACTCAATAAAGAACAAGAGGGTATGTCAAGAGTTGGAAGGAGTGAGCTTTGAAGAAAGAATCATGAGTTAAAAATGAAGGTGCTCTGATAATAACGTAGAATGCTTTTGGAGTACAAACAGGATAGACAAGAAAATTAAGCTCTGCACTAAGGTTAAAATAAGATCAGGAAAGCATAGTTATGAATTAAATGCCCAAATATGCTACATGGATATCAGGAAATATTTTATCATTGCAAGAGTGGGCATTACAATAAGTAAAATGAGCTAAATAACTAGTCCTTAACTTCTGTTGAACACATACCCCTTGATGTTTTGTATTATCATCCATTTACCCCTTTGTTCATACACGAAAAGTAACTTTTTACAAATAAAGATGTACAGATAAAACGGGTTCTCACACTGAGGTGTGCAAACCCCAAGGGGTAAATTTTAAATTTGAATGAGTTATTTTCCTCAAACTCAACAGTAAAATTTGTAGAACAGGATTAAGCTATTTAATTTAAAAAGGAAATGGTGTATATGCCCAAGAATGTAGATATACACTATTTCCTTGTTAAATTAAATAGCTTAGCCCATTCTAGATGTTTTAATTATTAACACTTAAACTGTCCAAGCAGATCTACGTTCATATGCGTAATGCTCCAACAGTAGATCTACTTTTTTTTTACATATTTTCAAATATAACCAAAAAAAATGTAGACCAAAGTATGTAAAAAAAAGATTACTTTTTTTTACATACTTTCAAATGTTGAAAAAACGTAGATCTACGTTTGGACAGTTTAAGGGTTAAGAGTAATAATGAATTCAAATTTAAAATTTACAGAAAACCTACAAATAACTGTTCCTATGTTACACTATTATTCTTCACATCAAGATAGAGTTAAACTGTCTGTTTTCTCATCACTGTTTTTGAGAGCTTTGCATATTTGTAGTCCAGAGTTCATAGATGAAGAAATATCCAAAATTTATGAAATAGCTAATGATCTGAAATACCCAAGAAATGCAATTGATAAATCTTTTAAAATTGCTAGAAATACTTTTTACAGTCCAAAAAGAGACAACCAA